AAGAAAAAATAAAAATGATAACAGAATTCCAAGCAAGATAATAGGAAATTAACAGCAGCTAATATATTATGTATTGCTATGTTCAAAGTAGTTGCTTAGATTATAAGATACAGGCATGTATCATTTATCAAAACAATATGAGGACAACCCGTTTTTTTTCAATGAACTAAAAGAAATTAGTAATGTAACTGTCTTAGCTGTCTTTTGTAACTTTTCCCCTTCCTCCTTTTCTCCTTTCAATCATCCCAATTATTTTCCTTTTGAGCAGTTTCTTTCTCTTTCACAGATTTTATTATAGATTATGTGTTTTATTTACTTTTTTAGTTTCTTACAATAGGTAGACAATATGATGTTTACACAGGCAAGTTTGATTTATTTCACTTATGAATGTGGTCTCTAGTTGCATCCATTTACCTAGAAAAATCTCAAGTTTATCCTTTTTTATAGTTGAATAGCACTCTATTATATACCGTGTCTTTTAAAATCAGCTCCTCAGTTGATTAGCATTTGAGTTGTTTCCAATTTTAGTTATTACAAATTGGGTGCGCATATATCACTATGGTATGACATGTTTAATTCTTCTGGGAAGATAAGATAAGGAAATAATTTGTATATGTGAAGAATTCATGTAAAGTGACAAGGGATTTTTTCCAAAGAAAATGAAAAATGACAGGCAAAACTCATGTATATTTGAAGATATCCAATTGCTAATGAATGCATCGACAAATACTAAGTCCTCTTTGCAACTAAAATATGAAAATGGAAATAATTAGATAACTGCACATCATTTTAATATTTCAAATAAAGATTGCAAAGAAACATACAGCCTTTCATTGGGAAGGAACCCTCATACATCTTAAGAAAAAACAAAAACTGGTAAAACTTTTTATGTTTTTGCTTTTATAAATACTTAATTGTAAATAAAATGTATAACAAAATACTATAGAAGGCAAGAGTGAGCATTAAAATTCTACACATTATAAAATCACTATTTCAAGATTATTATTCTTATATTAACTTCAAAGCAGTGTTAACAAGTAGCCTACCAAATGGACCTCTAAAGGGGCCCTGTTTGCCCTCGGTTGTAGACACAGAGTCTAGACTAGAAGTTAATAGGGAGGAGAAAGTATGTGAAGTGCCTGAGCTGGCAGCTCAGTGACCAGGGGAAATATTAGACTGGGTAGACTTTCCACCGTACACCTCAATGCAAGTGCAGTAATTTTTGAAGAAGACATTATAGAGATGAAAATAAGGTAGAGTGGAAGAAAGAGGAACAGTTTGTGCAGGTTAGCTTAGAGAATGGAGTACCGATGGAACTGAGTGAAAAGTGAGGGCTGGCTCAAGAGAGAACAGCTACTTTCTATTCATGCAAAAGCTCTCCTTTCCTTTGGATCCGGATGACAGCCATAGAGGGTGGAAATCGTTGAGAAAGGTACTTCCCTACTAAAGTCATGCTGCTTTGTTCACAAGATAAGATATCAACTTGGGTACTTTAGGGTGTTATGGTTTGTTTAAATGTTCCCCCGAAGCCTCTTGTGGTCATGGAGGCAGCTGAGTCTAGCCTTTGTGATTGGTTCATTGTCCAGTGCTGGGATTGGTGGGGTGAGTGCTGCACCTGTCCAGGGGTGGGTAGCCAGCTACAATATGAGGGAGAGAAGGAGGCATGCTTTTCCCTTTTGCTCTTTTAGCTCTTGCTGCTTGCAGCAGAAGTGAACGTTGCCCCTTAGCCACACCACCCTGCCTTGTAGTCAGCTGAGTTTGGGCTGCAACCTCCAAAAACTGTAAGCTAAATAAACCTTTCCTTCCCTAATTTTGGGCGTGATATATTTTGTCTCAGCAAGAAGAGAAAAGTAACAAAGATATAGTATGTGTTTGCCCAGCAGATTATTTAATAAAGTCCAAATCCATGGAAAGATTGATACATTTTACTCCTCCCCACTCAGAAAAGATTTCTCTTTTCCTCCCTCCCTTCCCACCTCTCCCTTTCTTTCATTTAAAAAAATTAGCACCCCTCCCCTTTCTTTTTTCCCCTTTTCCCTCCCTCATGCCTTTTTTCTTTCCTTTTAAAGAAATTTTATAAGTACTTTTTTAATAGATGAAATTTACATTCACCTTAGGGAGTAGGTCAGTGTGCATAACACCTCTTGTTTCTTTCTTATTGCCCTTCCCTTTCCTATCCACATCCCTTCCTCCATCTCTAAATTCTTTGCCCCCATTTTCATTATTGTCATTGTAATTACTTTTAGTTCATGTTCATGGCACTTAATGCTTACATTCATTGTGGCTATATTGCCTGAATCCTTGACACACGTGAAATCTTTTTACTTTCCCCTTCCCTTCCCTAACCTCACAAAACAAAGAAAACTTCCCCCGACTTGGCTAGGGGAATAGAGATAGACATTGAAAAGATTCTGTGTCAACTTTCACAGCTGCAAGGCAAGTGTGTGTGTTGAACGTGTAGTAAGCATTTACACATGGAAGGGTTCCCAAGAATCAAAGAACGAGAAAGTTAGTCAAAAACATATAATATGTGAAAAGAGAGAGGGAAGTTGTTACAAGATCCTCTCTGGGTGCTCTGGGCCAGATGAGAAAATACATAAGAGAATACACAGAAAGAATATACAGCAAATTTGCAGAATAAAGCTTTACACTCATAAAAGATGCTCAAGGACCAGTTATTTAAACTGGGTCTGTAATATCCTATTTTCCCTCCAGACTACATGGTTAGCATCTTTCACTATACTCTGGGGTTGTAACCAGTGTGAATATGTTCATTATTCAGTTGTAGAAGAAAGGGACCATCTCCTGCCTCCTTGTGAAATTAGTCAAAAATAGGTACGGGTTACACAATTGAAGACAGAGAAAGATAACCAATCAATTTCTATATTTGAAATGACGTATTTCAAGATGTTGTTGTGTTGGATGGCATCATTGGCAGTTTTTTTCCCTCTCTTTCTGATTTTGACACTATATAATCTGTATTTTCTTTAGTTTCAAAAACAAGAAAAATTTAATTAGAAGAATGGCATTCTTTACATGTTTGTCATTCTCTTTAATATATGGCTTAGAGGAATGAAGACAGATCCTCATACCTACATTTAATATTTTTTTTGTAATTGGTTGTTATGGTTCTAGTTCATGATAAGTAATTGGAGAGGAGAACAATGCTTTACTAACATTTTTCAGACAGCTGGGGCTATTCTTCACTACTATGCCAAACAATCATTACTAGTTTCTTAGAGAGGATTTGCAAATGTGCTATGCAAAATAATAAGGAATTTCCCCTGATCTCTTGTCCACTTGATTATCTTAAAATGCACTTGTCAGTTTTGCATTTGGAATGGATGATTTATCCAAGCAAGATTATATAACAAGATACACTGGTTGTTGGAATTGTATATCTTGTAAATCTGATTGATGTAGCTTATTATACTGTGTTTTAAAAACTATTACCTCTTTCATCAATTAGTATCACAAAGCTGAAAAGGTTATTATGGTACCTCTAAGTATTCCAAAATCTGAATTTTTGCATGCAAATAAAATTTTATTATTGACAACAAATAGGGTCTTAAAATGAGAAGCTTACTTTTATTCGTGTTCAAAACAGATTTGCTGTATTACCTGATTTGAACATTACACTGTTATATGTATACCAGAAGATATTTGACATCCCATAAATATATGTAACTTTTATGTATGAGTTAAAATCAATAAGTAAAAGTTTTATAAAGCTGTGTGCATATATGTGTATGTAAATAGATAGATAGGTAGATAGATTGATAGATAGATGATAGATAGATGATGTGTGCTAATTTTTCTTAGCACTAGAAATGCTGGTCTACAAAACATGTATTCTGTTCATTGTACTACTCTATCATGAGAGCTTTTCCTCCAGACAGCCAACAAGACCTGCTTCATGTAAACATTCCTTTTTGCCATACATGATGCTAAAAGTAAATGTTCTCAAGCTTTGTGATATAACTAAATTAATTTTAAAAATTCTTTGAGGGCATTTTGGAATGGATCTAGCAATTTTTATGTGAATGAATATCTGTGATTCTTGACATTCTGTTGTCACTTCCTTGAGTCATGGGAAGGTGCGTACATCCCCACCACTGTTTTTGTACCTTTTAGACAAATAAAAATGTTGGACAGTAAAAAGGATATTTTAAAAAGGAAAAGATTTTGACATGAAATACCTGAAAGGAGATTTTTTTTAAAAAAGAGAATATTGAAAATATATTTGAAACTCTTATCTTCTCCAATCTAAAATTTATTTTCCACTCTCTTTCCTAGAGATGATTACTATCTTTCAATGAGTATGATTTCTTACTATCATGTGTTTATACTCTTGGTATACAGAAACATATTGATCCATAACTTGTAGTATTTCAAGGGATCCCTAACATTACCCAAATTAATTTTTGTATCATATTACGCTCTATTATGTTTATATATTATTATATACCTTACATTCCCCCTTCCACAGTATGTCTGTGTATTTATTCACCAGATATATGTAGACACACTTTTATTTAAAAAGTTGCAAAATATCCCACTTTATAAATATTTCAATCTTCAAGTATGGGTGAATAAACATGTATAATATTTATCTACTTTCCTTCAGTTATCAAGATGTTCTTGTGTAGTTTCTAAGTTTTGGAAATTACAAACGATCAGTTTAATCTGTATTATTGATAATATAATTCTAACTATTTATAAGTTGGTTATATTATGGAATAAGCTTTTCAGGATTTACTCAGGAAACAAGTGAGTATAATTATTTGGAATACTACCTCTATGAGAAAATACATTTCAGCTTTTAAAGAAAATGAGATCAAAGGACTATGTTTTGGAATATAATATGCTTTCAACTTAAGAGTTAGTTGTCTTTTTAATCTCTTACTCCAGACTAATAACATAATCGTAGGAAATAACTTGAGATACAGCATTAATATGTAGCACATTCATTTCTATAGTATTCTGCTTGGCAAAGTAAACAGAGAAATTCACTTCCTAGTATGTAAGAAAATTTAAAACAGGAAGATAGAAATGATGTTTCACTAAAGCCTACAATCATTGTTCCAATTTCTAAGTACTAAAGGTAAACAAAATATGTTGGAAAATGGAGATTTATTATCATGATTTAAAGGAAACAAATTACACTCCCAAATATTCTGAGTAAATTTTTGTTTTTTAAAGCTGCCTAGTAACGAATTTCTACTTGTTTACAGATTGAGAAGAACACCTATTTCCACATGACCAGAGTAACTTGTCATCTTTTATCTTTTTTCTGCATTTATATGAACCTGTGTGAACCTACAATTTATATTTCCTTTTGACCCCAAAGAAGACAGATAAGTATGCAATTTTGTATTTACAGACTGAGAAAACTCAACCATTTCTAATGGCTGATTTCACTCAGTCACAAGTGTACTATCATACCTTGTCAGGAAATATCTACATGGAATTTCCAGTATGCGGGGGTGACTTTAACTACCGCATTGGGTATGATCTAATAAAAACAAAACAAAACAAAACAAAACAAAACAAACTTAGTCCCTTCTTGTTAACAAAACGTTCTTGTTAAACTTTCTCATATACTAGAGGGAAAAGAATTTTCATACTCATTTTTCCACAACAGAGAGCTTATAAATTATTAGTTCTGTGTTTTATTTCTCATAAAAGATATGTCCTGCCTGTGGGGCCTTGCAGGAGGCAATTAAGTTTATCAGTTCTTCTGATACACAATTCAGAAACTCATAACACTCAAATAAGAGCAATTAGCTATAGTAATTTTCAAAAAATCTAATAAATAATCTTAGTTTTAAAATAAATAATCAAAAAGTTTAACAACTTTACAAAGCTGTTGGTGGTTGTACTTTCAAGATCCATTTAAAGGGAAAAGATTAAAGCCTAATATCTTTAAAAATAAGAAACCTTTACAAGTAATTGTAAAGTTTTGAGTCACTGGCAGCTTTAATAAAAAAGTTTTATGAGGCAGAGCCAGTTGTGGTGGTGCAGTCCAGTAATCCCAGCACTCTAAGAGATGTTGGCAGGAGAATTGCCAAAGTTGGAACCCAGCCTGGGCAACTAAGTGACTTAGGAAGATCTTGTCTCTAAATGAAAATGGAGGATTCTGGGATGGAGTTCAATGTTGCTATGTTAATAATATTAAACTCTGTTGTAACAGTGCTATTAAAATTGCGTAGACATTCTAAGATTGTGCCCTCTCATAAGCAAAAGCCAAGCTGGGAGGGAGCATATATAAACAGAGGAGTTACTTACATTTAGATGTCATCCAGGTCATCTAAATCTTCCTTCTTAAGGGCTAGAAATATTTTTAAAATGTCAAAACTACATAAAACAAGGTGTGTACATGATGAAATGTAAATCATGCGTTTTCTGTGATAATATTAAAATCAGAAATGTTCCTTAAGATCAGGACATAAAAACACAAAAGAAATTTGACTGACTTTTCCTGGGATGAACCACTCTCTGCCACAATCAAGCAATAAGTATATATCCTTCACTCCCATTTCAATCATAGCATGATTTAGGTCTTTGTATTTTTTAATTTATTTCAGGATTTTTATCAATGAATTGATTTATCTACCATAACTGAAATGACAAAAATCTATGTGTGGCAATTTTTTGCTCTGACACAATTAGTATCTCCTGTTAGCTAGCTATTTTTGTCTACTTCTCTCTCATAAGAGTTGATAGAAGATAATGCTTCATAATATAAGCTCTGGAGTTTGTAGTTTGGACCTGAGTTTCCATTTGATAGATGTATAACACTGCACAAATTATTTTATTCTGTGTTTCATTTTTCTCATCTTCCACATGGGAATTATGGTAGTATTTACTACATTTTCCTCTTCCAATTAGTTATTTTAATAGTATATGCAAAATAGCAAAGTGTCAGATGGTAAACACTATAAAAGGGTTTGATATTATTTATGTGTCCAGATATGGTCATATCTTTCGTTTCTAAAAAGATTAGCTACTTTTAGGAGAAAACAGGCAGTGCTAGAAAACAGAATGACGATAAATAATGTAAGTAAGGTAAAGGATCTACATTTGTAAAGAAAATAGATACGTGGTTCAAGATAGAGAGCAGATAACGTTGAGTAATTCACACCAGCTAAGATAGAGGCCTAGTTTAGTAGTCCACCTCTGTGTTCATCACAAGGGTAACAAAACTGCCTGGATTTGGATGTCTCACTTGCAAGACCTGGGCCTTTTGTAGGAACAGAGTTGCAATCAGGTATAATACAGTATTCTATGTCCAGCCTAATTTCTGGTCCTCTTCTTCATGAATTTTACTGAGTAGCACCATGTGGGAGAAATATTTTTGTTTTCTAAGACTGCACTGATTTCATTGATTCAATACTCAGATTTGGTATTTGAGGGTTCCAATATGCATTATATCTTTTTGTCCATAATAAAAATTCACATTTTCCATATAAGTTCTAGAAAAACTAAAACAAACAAACTAACAAACAAACAAAAACCCCAATTTTGTCTTCACATATGCCTGATTATTTTTCTTCTTGTATTATTGATTTGTAATTAGATAACAAATAGGTGGGATGAATTGAGTAAGCCCCTTGGGTTTTAAGTATAATATCTATTTTTTCACAAAAACCTTAAAACAATAGGAAATATAATTTATGGTTTTTAAAACAATTGATAACAATAACAAATAATAATTAGTAGTTCCTAGAATGAGGCTCTAAAACTTTGCTGTATTTAAGAATAACAGAAAAAAAAACCCCACCATTTATAAAGCCAAAGGATTCTTAAGGGAGAGGCAAATGCTATTACATATAAACATAAAAATGGAAATATGAATCCAACACCTACTTGAAACAATTTTCTACCTTAATGAAAAGCACTCCTTAGGCATATGTATGAATACTTTGTCTGCCTTGTAGATCCAAAATATAAATTATAGAATTATACTGGGGCTTTCCACTAGAAAGACTATTCTAGATTTTCAGGCACTAGGAAGACTAGATTTAATTTTGCTTTAGGAAATCAGGAATCGTTTCTTCCGATATATACTGAGAGCAGATAAGGTTGAGTAATTAACACCAGCTAAGAATAGGATGGTAACAGATAGGGGAAAACTTGTGTATGAACCCAAGATGTTTCAAGGTGAAAAAAAAATTTTAAATAGCCACATTTTATTTATAGAAGCCTAAAAACAATTCAGTTTACCATCATGATTATTTACATCATTGCTTCTTTACTTTTAGTTTTTTCTAACCTTTAATGGTAAGTAGAACTTGGTGTTTATTAAGCATATTGCCTCTGTGAAGACTTTATATTTATGAGAAATAAAACCCAAAAAAGGGAATGATATATCATATTCTTTTCCATCTAAATTATCCACATTTTCAAGGGTTGAACTCATTAGTACTTCCCGTGTGTAAGACATTGATCGAAACACTTTGATTCATTTAAGTCTCACAGTAATCCTTGTAAATAGTTACTAATATCATCCTTATTTGACAAATGAAGAGGAAATTTGGATGACATAGTCAAAGATGTGGCACAAAGCTTATTCCTCATTTGCAAAACCTCATTTGCCAATCAAGAATTATATATAACAACTGTTTTTCAAATATGGACACAAAATAAAGATATCCAAGTGTCTTAGTTACTTTTCTCTTGTTGCTGAGGCAAAATACCTGACACTCAAGGTTAAAGGAGGTGAGGTTTATTTAGATCACAGTTTGTAGAGGTTTTATTCCATAATCAAATGGTTCTCAGGTAAGGTGGTGTGACAGAAGGGTAACAGTTCATGCTGGCAGAAGATATCAAAAGCAACAAGAAGGGAGGGGAGGCCAAGTCTCTTTCTGTCCCTTATACTACCTGCCCTAGGGCAGGTGTAGCACTTACACTCTTTTTTTTTTTTTTAATTTTTTTTTTGTCTTTTTCATTTTTATCGGTACCAGGGATCGAACTCACGACTGCCTGCTTGCAAGTCAGGTGCTTATGCCGCTGAGCTAAATCCCCAGCCCCGCACTTACACTCTTAACCCCAGCTTTAGACCATGAATCAATAACAAATGCTAGATTCAGCTACCTTCAAAAAGCCTGTCCCCCTGACAACATGAGGCTTTAGGGGACATCTAGACACAAATCATAACACCAAGATAAGCAACAGCCAAGAAATTTTTTTGTTAGCAAACTTGCCTTACAAGAAAAAATAGTTCTTTAGGGTCAAATGCAACTGACTCCAGACAGTAATTTGAACACACTCAAAAGCGTCACTTTAACTACTACACAATATTCAACTTTAGAAAGTAACCATAAACGTGAAAGAGAAGAGATTTTCATAAATTTCAATATCCTTCTGAAGAAGCTAGTTGAGTGACTTTTCTACATGTACTGCACTTTTTAGCAAGTATATCCAATGGAAACAGTCTCATGAGGGTTTTCTTTAACATTTCACAGATACCCAAAGATAAATTCAGACTACAGCATTTGGGATCTTTGATGTGTCCTCCACAGTTCTTTGTTTTTCATCCAGTACAATTCAATGTCCTTGGGCTGCACTGATTTTCAAGTCCCTGCTGTGTGGTAGTCAAAGTTCGCCATTCTCTGCTACATACTCGTGGTATGCCCCACGTGCTTATGTCTTTAGGTTGTTGTTCACAGACTGCTTAGCTATTTTCTTTGTTTCCTCTTTTTCAGATTCCTCCTGTCTTCAGGGACCACTTCATGTTTCATGCTCTCAGTGGAATTTGTCTTCTACTCATCACCCAGAAAGATCTACTATTTAACTTTTTATCCATGGGAGTTATCCCTATGACTTTCATTACTTTCTATTTTGAATTATTTAAAGAATTTTATATCAGCAGCTATAATACATGGGACTCTGAGGGGCCTAATATGTAACAACTATCTCGGTTCTATCGGAGTTCTGAATCATATAAGAAATGAACCTGACAAATGGGAATCAAATACCCCTTGAATCACTGTCAAGCCCCAAATATAGTTTCTGGCACTAATTGCCCACTTTGTCACCAACAGTGGCACCCAGCAAAATGTATAGTACAAGAAAGCACTGTTTAGAGCTTCCTGTAGGCAGCTGACTGTGAAGTGGAAGGAGATGACAAGATCTGAGCTTTGAGTACCTGGTTTCTCCTGCTTACTTTTGGCAATCTTTTTCAATTATGTAGTAAAGACTAGGAAATGAGGTAAGGGAGGAAGGGGTTTAGTTACAGCCTCTTTTCATGAAAATCAAAACATTCTTCACTAATACAGCTCAGCTTTTTGGCCTTTTAATCCATTGGGACTAATTATTAAGTCCTAGTCACCCAAAGGTGTGTCTCCTTTGGAAAGGTGATTAGTGCCCTACTAGGGATTCCTATTCCCATTTTCCCTGAGGCAGATTCTGAAAAATCACACCCTTGCAAATTTTACAGGAGTGCTCTTTCAGGTGAGTATGTTGTAACAGAAGACTCAGGAACATGTCTGGACAGTTATTTATTTATTTATTTTATTTAAAGAGAGAAGAAAAAAAAAGAAAGGACATTAAAAAATGTAGTAAAAGGGTACAAATGATACAGTATTTCAAGAAAAAAATATATACAGTACAAAATCACCAGTTAATAGGTTACATATTATCTTCCCAGAAACAGTTGTCCATATCACTAAATTAAAGCATATAAAGTGGACATTCATACAATGAAATTGGAGATGGACAGTTATTTTTGAAGATTCCAAGATCATCTGAATTCTAGCCTGAAATTTAACTCCCTATTCTATGCCCATCTCGCATGATGCCAGGTACCGTGCTCCTCAAGATAGCCAGCCTCTTCACTTGTGTGAGGAGGGCTGAATGTCACTAGAATGGCCACAGTTCCTTCCGGGCTCTGATGCACCTTGAGGTTGAAGGGTTAGAAGTCATGCATAACGATCACAGCACTGACTTTCATGACATCCTGAAATGAATGGCACAGTCACTCTGTGTATTTAAGTAATCGTAGGCAAATTTACTTTGCTATATCCCATTAAAGACTGTTGGCAAAACAGAGGAGCAGGAATACCTAAAAACTCAAAGTAAGACCAGAAAAACCTCCAGGCGTGATTCTCCAGATCCAAGGCAGTTTAAGCTAGTTGTCTGGTATCCCTGACCTGCAAACAGTAGGTGGAACCCTCTTTCTTGAGAGATTCATCATACCTGGGCAACCAAGAGTCATCTATGTGTAGGAACCTTCTACCAAAGGAAAACATGGATGGCATCTTGAAATTTAAAAAAAAAACTGCCTTGTTGTCATCACAGACAGGGCCATCTTCATTTATCTTTGGAAGAATATTTTCAAATTCACTACATTTAGAATCCTTTCACTTCCTCTGAACCCTAGGAATCTGTTCTAAGAAGACTTCTCCTCCCTGCCATTCCAAGCAGGATTTTTGGTCATGAACATCTGCCGTGTGCTCTTCAAACCTTCTGGTGTTTCAGGCCTTATTTGAAATACCAAGAGCAGTGGAGTTTATTTAATTAGGCAAATGAGGGATAATAGGGACTTGGATCCAGGTGGCTGTGTTGGAAAGAGTCTAAAGGCATTCTGATGATAGAGTAGCCGTAATTTGATGACAGATTTGATGTATGGTGGGGGAAAGAAAATAAAAGTCAAAAAAATTTGTGTTTTTGGCCCAGGTTACCAGAAAAAGTAAAATTGCCACCTACAAAATGAAGTATCACCTGAGAACTTCCCAGGATTTATAAATGTTTCTGGTTTTATTATTCAGAGGCTTTGCAAGCACTTGATACATCTGTTTCAATATTCATACCATAGTTTCTCTACCTGGAACTACGTCAAGACAAATCTTGGTAGCATCTAGCTATCAACTCACTCTAGAGTAGTAAGCTATTAACTGTTTGTGTACCCTAGACTCTGGGGATATCTAGTGCATCTTTGGTACCATTTTGTTAAAAAACTTTTTAAATGCATAAAATAAAGCACATATATATTATAAAACCAATAAAATTAAAAATTAACAGATATTTAAATTTATGATGATTATATACATGTTTCTTTATTAGTGCATTAAATAAATAGACCTAACATTGAATATATCTAATTCCTAAGTATCAATGACTATGGTGATGTTTTATGATATTGTAAATAGGTAATTGTGATATGAAAATACTATGATATATTTATTGAAATATATATATTTATGATATATTTTGTGAAAATACAGTGATATATTTTATGACAAAGTCATAACTTCTATACATATCACAGTAGCTTGTTACCTATAGTCATAATTGAGGAAAATGCTAAATTCTGTTTGCCTACATGAAATGAAAATACAGTGTATTAAAAAAAAGAAAATACAGTATATTTTCATTGTCATCCATGTTTATGGACTGGCTTTGAAGATAAAGGAGCTGATCTGAACATATGTTTTATAATGAAACACTGTAGAACTTTGGGATGAGGAAGATAAAAAGATTTTTCCTTAACATCTAATATATGTAAGGCACTTTTCTAAATCAAAAGGGATGATCATAAACTATGATGTGTTTTGAAATAAAAAATATTTATTATAGTAGAGGACACATTGCCATTAATCCTCCACAAGTACTTAGTTGTCCTACCTTTGAACTTATTTGTCCCATTCTTCTTGACTCTTCAGGAGCAGCCCTGGAAGTCCTTTTCTTGTGAGTGGTTTTACAAGATGTGATTAAAAATATATAGTGAATGCTGCCTGTTGATGCCATCCAATGGACAGGCAGGCTTATGAAAACATTATAGTGCATCTTTATCCATCTTATTCACTGAATCTGATATCATGTGGCTTCTGACTCTTCCTCTAAGTCAAAATGACTATGAAAGGTGTCTTAGTTACCTTTCTCATTGCTGACACCAAATACTCAACACCCACAAGTTAAGAGAGGAAAGCTTTATTTTGTTCACAGTTTGTGGATATTTCAGTCTACTGTGTGCTGACTCCAGTGCAGGGTGGTTTTGCAGAAGAGAGCAGTTCATGGTGGACAGAAGACAACAACATCAACAAGCAACATTAACAAGGTCTTTCTTCTATCTAGGCTGCTAGGATTAGGGCAGTACCGAACCAATCTGTGAACGGATCACACAACCTTAATCTTAGGATTACACACTCTAGATTAGCCACCTCTGAAAATTCCTCTTCTCTGGTGTCATGATTGCATGAGGCTTTCAGAGATACAAACCATAACAAAAGGACAGGTAAAGTTTTGAAACAATTCAGGGCACTGAGGCAGCTTTGATATTACAACTAAAGGCATTGATCAAAGTGCACTTCCAGACATGATTCAGAAAGTGACAAGAATGATGGAATGTCTTCAAAGCAAGAGGAAGTATTTTGAGGGGAATTAATGCAAAATGTCTTGCCGCATAATAAATTACAAAATTAAACATTCACTGTATTTTGTGATCATACCTGCTATGGTTTGTATCTACGTGTCCTTCCAAAGTCTCATGTGTTCATGAGGGATGGACTTTTAAAAACTGACGGAATCTAGAGTTTGTGATTGCTTCACTGTCTAGTGGTGGGATTGGTGGTGTGAGTACTGCACCCACACTGGAGCAGATAATCTAAATACAATATAAGGAAGGGGAGGAGGCTTGCTCCTCCCTTTTGCCCCTTTGGCTTTGCTGCTTTGCCTGTTTTCCACTACCATGAACTGTTACTCTGTGCCATGCCATCCTGCCTTGGAGTCAACTGATTATGAACTGAAACTTCTACAGACTGTGAGCGAAATAAACCTTTACTTTCCTAATTTTGGAAGTTGAATATTTTGTCCCACAAATGAGAAAAACATAACTAAGATAACACCCACACATCATCTCATTTAATTATGAAAGATACGTTGCACGTTAGATATTCTTGACTAGAAATTTAAGACATTGAAAGTAATTTGCTCGTTTCCGTTACAGTGAGTGTCCTACTTTGGACATGCATCTAGGCCTGCCCCTTTCTAAAGTGCAATCTAAGAATCACTGACCTCAAATCTGGGTAGACATCTTGACTACTATCCAAATCCACAACTTTCTCATGTCAAGCTTCAGGTTAATATCATTTTGGTATCCTCCTTTATCCTTTCAGCAGTTCACATGTAGCATTAAGCCTCTTGCATTTTGAATCATAATTATTTGTCTTAGTTACTTTTTGCTGGTCGCTGAGACAAAATACTTGAGTTGGGAAAGGAAAGGTTTATTTCTTACAGTTTTTGGAGGTTTCAGTTCATTCTCAGTTGGCTCCAAGCAGGGTGGCATGGCAGGGCTGCAGTTCATGGCAGCTGTAAACAGCAAGGCTGATTGCTGGCAAGAGAGCAAGACACGCCTTCTTCCTGCCATTACATCATATCCAGGTTCCAGCTCTATGTGGGTGTAGCACTGACACCATCAATCCAAGCACTATACAATGAACCAATCGCAGATACATAATGTAAACACATGAGGCCTAAGGGCCACCAACATAAATGATGACATTCCACCCATGGACCCCAGGACTCATGTACATCCTTTATATTAAAAGACATTTAGTTCGTCTCCAAGAGTTGCCAAAATCCTAACAGTTTCAGCATTGCTGAATAGTCCAAGTCCCAAGTCTCCTCCAAGATCTATGGCAAACTCTTAACTGTAACCCCCTGTACAAATGAAACAAGTTTAAACATTTCTGAAATGCAAAATAACAAAATAAACATTACCATTCCAAAAGTTACAAAGAGAGAAACGTAAAGCATTGGAAACAAAGCAAGTCCAACATCCAGCAGGGCAAACATTTAAGCCCTAGAGTTTCATGCTCAGCATCTGAAGCAATCTGGCTTCACTGTTACATCTTTACAAATTGCCCTCTCAGGGGCACACTGCTTGGCCTTGCAGGCCCTTTTCAATTGAGGTGGAAGCCATCTTACCCTCAGAATTTGTGCATTTTCCTTGCACCTAAAATCAGCTACATGTGGATGCTGCCAGGGTTTGCTGCCAGCTACAGCAGTAGCCAGAATTTTTACTCTCTTGGCTACAGGGATGGATTGCCTGGATTGTTGGGTTCTGTGAACCTGATTGTGAAGAAGAGCTTCTCTGTGTTGCCACCATTCTGGAACCTCACGTGGCCTCCATGGCCATTCTGGAGCATGGTGCTCTGCAGCTTTCTCCTCAGCAAATTTTTTCAGTTTTTCAGTTTTGAGGCTGCAAAGGGTGATGACCCACTGCTTCCTGGGATGCCCCGGGGCCATCTTTTTTATCTCTCTGTTTCTCCTCAACAATCAAAGTCTCAATCCTGTCTTTACAATCCACAGCTTTCCTGGAATTTTCCTTCTGGCCAATTTACAAGAGTTGTAAATTATCCTGCTGAGCTCTTTACTCTTGATTTGCAACATAAAGCTGGCTAAAAGCCCCCAACAATAGCCATGCCACAGCCTCAACATTTGATTGCCTTGAAACTTCCTTTCCAGATTAATCAGGCAATGGCCCTTTGTCTCAGCCTCAGGCAAAGTTTCTGGGCATGAGCAAAATGCAGAAAACTTTCTGCTAAGCCATCACAGACATCATGGGAAGTCCATCAACCAATATAGTTCTTCTTCCCAGCAGAAACCTCCCAATCCTGGTTTTTACCATGTGGCTTTCTATCAGCCTTCTGGTCTCCTGAGCTCTGACCAGAATCTCCTCTACAGAAGAGTCTAAGCTGCTCCAGCTCTATGCATCCAGGCGACATGTCTGAACCTTTCCGAACTCTGCCCACAAGCCATTTCCAAAGCCTCTTGAAAAACATGGTCAGGTATAGTCACAACAATGACCCCACTCCTTGGTACCAAATTCTGTCTTAGTTACTTTTTACTGGTTGCTGAGACAAAATGCCTGAAGCCCAAAGCTGGGAAAGGAAAGGTTTTTTTCTTACAGTTTTTGGAGGTTTTAGTCCATACTCATTTGGCTCCACAGCAGGGTGGCATGGTTGGGCTGCGGTTCATGGTGGCTGCAAACAGCAAGGCTGATTGCTGGCAAGAGAGCAAGACACGCCTTCTTCTTGCCTTTACATCACATCCAGGCTCCACCCCTATGTGGGTGTAGCACCGACACCATCAATCCAAGCACTCTACAGTGAACCAATCACAAATACATAATGTAAATGCATGAGGCCTGGGGGCCACTGACATAAACCATGGCATTATTAAACTAATTGAATACTTTCAGAACAAAAAAAAGACATCAAAATATTTTAAAATGCTGTTACTTTTGCCACCTCTGTAGAAAAGCAGCACTGGAGTAAATGGACGTGGCTACTGAGAATTTTGATCTCTGAAGAGATCTTGGATAAACTTAAGCTGTGTTAGCTACTGAATTGCTCAGTGAATTAAAAGACTTCCTTGAGGGCCTTAACATGCCAGTGGATGTATTCTTGGTTATGAATTATATAGAGAAGCTCTGCAAGGAGCAGCATCCAAGTCTCTAAATTAATGATAATCACTCCAAAAATAAACAAACTAATTAACATTAACTATAATGAAAATACAACTTCTGGTTCAATGGCCCTGATTATATAGTTTATTTAGTAAAACACAGGGTTAGAAATTCTTTAACTGAAAGAAATAATGGTTACTAACACTAAATCTTCTCTCTTTCATTAAGGCCTCTAGCATATTAATTGCATCATCAGCCTATTTATTGATTTTAGTGCCTTGCAGTTTGCTAAATGTGAAAGTCTCTGGAGTTGCTTTAAGATTCCTTGAAATTTAATACATACAGTGGTTTGGGGATAAAGAAGTTCCACTGGTCAGTTTTAATTAAAAAATACAATATATGAAAAATAAAACCCTAGGTTGGCCAAATTGCTTTTTGCTCAGTAGGGAAAAAATCCAGATAAATCAGACTTTTTGCATTTACTTTAATAACAAGGAAATACAAGCCAAGCAAAATAAATCTCTTCTTGCAGAAATGGTGATTTGTTAGTGCTAGAGCTTTTATTTCTTATTGATTAGGTAATAGATACAAAGAGACTCATTATTCTTGAGTGT